AAGAAAAAAAGGGTCTTACATTCTTTGTAATGAGAGAACAACATGAAAAATACAACTGATAATCGACTTAGAGTAATTGGGTAGAAGAGATTTTTTAATAAAGCAAAAAATCCGACGTCAGATGTTAAAAGATATAACTTATATGAAATGGTTCAATGTCCTAACTGGATTGAAGCCTTGTGTATAAAATTCCACACTTATTGATTGCATGAGTGATTAAGTGGGGCGTTATTACCACTAAATGCTACAGTTTAGTGGTATTCCTCTTCACTTGTAAGTGAGAGGTTTTAGATTCGATTATCGCTATAGGCAAATTTGAATCACATTTTTGCTAGCCCATTATGAGGCTAAGTCCACACTCTTTCCTTAGTGTAGATAATATTGTTTGTTTATAAAGATTAAAAAAGAAAATAAGAAGTGAGGCGGTATCAATGCTATTAGAGGTGGACTGCAGCCCATGCCTTTGAAACTTTAACATTTTCTTCCAGTCTAGCCATTCATCTAAAAGTTTGAATCCCCTTCAAGAAGTTTAGATCAGTAGAATATTGCTTACACTATATTTTACATCCTTTAGGTTTAGAGTGATTTCCAACGTCGACAATGAAATTCAATTTTCTTGCATCTCACCATAGATTTTGATAAATACTGAACCAAGTTCATAACAAACCAATGCAAATTGATACACAACACTATTTTACATGAGCTTTACCAATGTCAACTGGCAAGACATATTCTTAAAAAAGACAAAGCAAATCCTAAGCGTCGTAATTCGGGATGAAAACCTTGAAAATACAGGATAAATGCTGATAAGTTTGCACAATGATTCTCACAGCAGCCATGCTACTCATAAGACCCCTTCGGACAAATTCGGGCAGTCCTACAAGCTCCCCCCTGACGGGGTTAGTCTGCTGTCCAACTCTGTTCCACAATTTCCCTCACTCTTCGGTTGTACTCACGCTTGTTCTCAGCTAAACATGCGAGCAGCTTCTGAATTTGCAGGAGAGTTTGGGTTGGGATCACATAGTAGTGACTGCAATAAACAAATACAAACAGTTAGGATCTTCTCAACGTATAAACCCGTGTTTACATGTGTAGGGTACTACTATAACCTTCTTCCTGAGACACTAAGGTGCAGAAACAAAATATTAACATCCAAAAGACGATCTCTTAAGCTATATATATGCTTCTTTTCACATGATTACCTGGTTACCTGCTTTGTAGATTCATAAATATAACCAAGGAAATAACAATGCTACACACACAATCAAACCATACCTGGATGGACGTGAGTATAGCTGCCACGTCATATATAGGACTCCACTGATTCTGTAAAATATCCAAACAAATACTCCCATCCGCATAAACTGACCAAATTTGAGAGAATATTGAAGTTATAAACCAGAGGAGAATTGTTTAACGAGTAACACGAAGTAAATGCTCATGTCAGGATATGTGTGCTCCAACTTACTATTTGGATGAAACATCCTAGAAACAAACCGGACTGTTGGTGGTTTGTTTGGATAATCCTCCGTAAACTGAAGAGTCAACTTAAACGTGCCTGTATAGCTCCAAGTAAAGTTCGTTAATGTATACATCAACATAGTTAAGCTTGTTTAACAGAAATATGCATACCATTGTCACATCAATGAGAAAAAAGGCACAACTACACAAACAATGGAGGAAATTATCTAATTAATTCATCAAGAAGAAAGCTTAAACTCTGAAAGAAGAAAAAAAAAAAAAAAACAGAAATTGTGATTCCACACTGTTAAACTAAAGAATAACGTAAAGTTCTGTACAGGATGTTTGTCTTCATTCCTGAATGTAAAACTGAGAAAAGAATATCCCACGTCTGAAACGCATTAACATAATCAAAAGCTTCAGTGCAAGAATTAACTGACCTCCATCCCAAGGAGTATCATCGGGACTGCAATCCAAACCAGACAAGAAACGAGAAATTGCTTATCCAACCGTACTTAAACATACCGGAAAAATGAAAAATTAATGTTGCAAAATAGAAGAGAAAACATCAGTAGATTTCTTTTATGCAAGGCATTTTTCCAACTTACCCAAATATAACAGCATTCCACAACATTATATTGTTATCCTGTGGCGCCCCACTAATCCCTGCAGGCGGGTCCTGTTGCAGCCTCTTGAAGTCTCTCATCAGCCTCTTCCTTGCAGGAGTCGACATCGCTAATTTGCTACCACCTATATATCATCAACCCCATTTAATAAACCGTATTTTAAGATTAACTATGCATTCAGCGGAAACCAATTTCATCTTTTTTCCCAATGCCTGCCAAAACATCAAAAACCACTTTTCTACACCAAATTGCACACAAAATATACTGGTGCAACTCAATTTGCCCAACGGAAACACATAATTACCAATACAAATACTTTAAACTACGACTTAGATAGCTTCAGCTGAGCTACATATAAACAAATTCAAAGATCAAGACTTGAAATCGAGCTCAAAAACTGGAAATTTCACTTCAATTAAGCAGCTTTTCAGATGTTTACTGCTTAAATATGCAAAATAACAAAAAAGAATCATCCTTTCTTCACTAATTGGACACTAACCGAAAACCCCTAATTCATATTATTCAGATTACAGATACACAGGGGACCAAATAGCTAACAAAGCTGGACAATTTGACCCCAGTCCAATACAAAAATTGATTCTTTCTGATTATACATGCGCTACCCTCCTACAATATCAAAAATTCCAAATTAAAATGGAAAACGAATTGAAACGACATAAAATTGAATACAACTTGGGGGAAATTTGGGGAAAATTATCTCACCTGGAGTTCCGAATCTCCAAGAGGTCCCGATCCGAGCAGGCTCAGAATTGGGTTGCTGAAGATGGTGATCAAGGAAGGGTTTTGGAGGTGGGTTTGATCAGATCGAAGCCGAAGCCATTAGGTTAGGGGGGAGAGGAACACAGAGTTCCCGTGAGAGAGAGAGAAGAGAGAGCGATGGAGTTTCGTTTTGTACTAGCTTTTATTACACCAAATATTTAATTTAATTCTCAAGTGAATAAGAATTCGGGAATTTTGTGGTGGGGTCGGTCTACTCAGCACTGTCCCCACCCCACCTGCTAGTTGGCCTTCTCTTTCTTTATCTGCTTTTCTCCTAAAATAGTGGAAGGGGAATATTTTCTCTACCTTTTCTTTTTCATTTTTATGGTTTCTATTTTTATGGGAGACGGCTAATAGCGTTTACTCTTGTATGTGAAGTTTCTGAGTTCGAACTTTAACGATAATATTGTTGTATTGTCAACCATTAATGTACATAAGATTTATTGGAGAAAAAAAAAAGATGTATTTTAACAATTTTGTTATCAACAATAACACTCGTATATGATTACAAGACCAACAATCAATCGTCGATCTGAATTACATTCATAATAAAGAAAGACAAGTATTAACAATTCATTGTCAAATATCACACTCGTACATAAACAACAATCCCACTAACGTGCATAAGATTCATAGAAAGACTTGTGTTTATACTTCGTTAACAACGATTATACTTTTTAATATATAATTACCACCTGTCAATACAGGTGAAATTCGTTGTGCGAAAAAAAAATATAAACAATCCATTACCGCTCCTTTTCAAAACCATGATTCATGTATGGTTTGATCTTTACAAATTATAATCACATTGTATTTGCCAGCTAAAATTTTCATCATCTCCTCTTGCTCCTTTATTGTCTCCTTAAAAGTTCATGAGGTAGCTGAAAAATGATGCAGATTCAGGCAAAGAACTTAAGGTGGCTTGGTTGGGTTTTAATTTAGTCGTTCGATCGCCTCTTTTCCATTTCGCGACTGCTTCATTTCTTGTAGCGGGGCAGAGCGTTTATATACATTTTTTTAATCAAGTTTTAGTAATATATCAGTCCCTCTTAAGGGAAGAGATTCTCCTGTCTGAAAAAAATAGGAATTAGTTGTGGCACTCATTTCATATCCAGTTTCAACGATCCGAACTTTTATTTTGCAAGTTTTAATTTATAGATCACCATGCAAAAATTCAATTCCACCTGAAACCATTTGCATATCTAATTATCACGATGAAATTTTATTGTTTCTTATAGAACAAATGGTTTGTTAATTTCTTCGATGTCTTAAATATTTTCGATTTGGCTAAAGGAGTCCGAATGAATGGATATTTTCTATTGATTATCTCACTCATTCTCTTTCTTACACTGACTTGTTAGCTATTTTGTTTGCAATTTACAATCTTCTTGGATTCCAGCTTTTTACTTTTCTTATAAAAAGCTTTGACCTACTATTTTGCAAGAATGATATATGAGGTGCAACTTGAAAAAATAGATAGTTTGGATCGTTAAAGTTCGATATGGTGTGATCCCAACAACTAATCCCTATTTTTTTATATAAAAAAAAAAATGGGGATCCCTTCTATATAGGAGGCCTTTCCCCTTCTTGCTTGCTAGGTGAATAAAGTTTATACATAATTTGACTATTAATCTCTAGGTTATTTTTACATTTGGAGATATGACACCAAAGTGTTAGAGATGTGTTTGGCACGTAAATAAATATAATACATAATTTGTTGTGAATAATGTGGATGACCCACATGAATAATTTGTTACTACTGATTCACATTATTTTCACTATTCGTTTGTGGAAAATTTGTAAAGTGAATAGTGTTCTTTGCTTATAAAATGAATGAGAGATGAAGAAGAGGTTCACGGAAGAGATTGTGAAAGAAGAAAGAGGAAGAGAGAAAAGAGAAGAAGAGGAAGAGAGAAAAGAGAGGAAGAGGAGAGGGGATAATAGAGAGAATTATTTTGTACTCTTATTATTCTAAATTATAATGGAAGCACTACCGCTACCCCGATGACGTACTCCAGTCACACTGACTGTAGAGGAACCTGATCTCGTAAGTTTTGTGTCATGTTTTATTTATTACACTGCACACACCGTCAATTTTACAACACAATTTAAAATGTAAAAGCTTATGTCAGCTAATCAAATCGTCAATCCTTTCCACGTCCAGGATTAAATACAATTTACAACCCTACCATCACCACTGCTATTTCTTAAATAACACAGACTAAAATACACAAAAAAAAAAACTCGGTTTAATTACCTTGTTTGAATCAATTAAATGTTTACAAATAATAAATATTTATTTTTCAATTCATAAACTATGAACTCTTGTGATCTCTAGTATCATCAGGAGATGCAGATGCACTCTTGGGGGCACTTGAAAATGGCAATGAAGGTGGCAGAAACATCAAGCTCCCCGGCTGCGAATTCGGCGGAGTTGTTTTGTTCAAATAGCTTGATGCACATCCAATACTACTACTGTTATTACCTATCTGTGATTGAAGGAATGGTGAAGAAGAAGATGTAGTAGTAGTAGTAGTAGTAGTAGTAGTACTTCCTGGAAAGTGGTCACTCCATTTGAATTTCTGAGCCAAACTGATACTACTGTCTCCACCACCTGCTTGATTAATATGACCTAGGGTTCCAGTAATGCCAGTGGTCCCAGCAGTACTGTTGCTGCCAATGATTGATGTGAGCACGGCTGCTAAGGCGGATTGAAAGCTAGGGTCAGATGTGATTGCCTTGGTGGCAGCTGCAATAGAGTCTGGTTGAAATTGATGAGGAACTTCTTGAGGAGGATTAGGGTGAGGGTTGATATTCTTCTGCATGTAATTTTGGTAGATGTTGTTTTGCATGGGCTGCTGCCTGATTCCAAGACTACTTAGTGGCGCACTTTGATTCTTGTTACAGATATTATATGGAGGTAAGTGGGTCCCATAGGAAGGGAGCCCATTATTACTCCAAGACATGTCGGTGCTGGACTCAGAATTTGATCCAAAGTTGAGGCTTGTGGGAGGGTAAAGTTGATGGGAAGAACTTGATGACGAAGAGAATTTGTTGAAATGGGAAATGGAATTGGATGTTGATGAAGGTTTTGAAGTGAGGTCTAAGATGATTGTTGGGACAGAAGATGAGAGTGAAGAGTTGGGTATGTAGAATCTGGATTTTGAGTTATCAGAAAGATAGAAATTATAACCATGAAGATCGTGCGCAGCGGTAGTACTGGTGGCGGTAGCTGATGGGTTCAAGCGGCCGGAGCTTGATGATGATGGCCGGATAATAGCATGGAAGCGGCTGCAGAGGTGGTGGAAGCCATTGCTGTGGCTGACATTGGAAGTGGGTGATTGTGATTTCCTTCATAGGTGGTAATTAAGATGGACATGTCCTCTGCACATCTTTGTACCTAAATTAATTGCAAATCAAGAAATTAGCATGCAATATATTTCTGGACACCATATAGTGAATGGCATGTGACAAGTGATGTGTCATCACCGACAGAGTTAGGTGCATGTGTTTACCTGTTTTCTTACTGGACACGAAGGTGCAATGGTGCAACGGTAGTAAGCACGAGGACATGGATTTCCTTTTGCAATTTTTTGCCCATATTTCCTCCATTGGCATCCATCATTCATCTGTGTCCAAGTAAAATTATACTTAGTAAATGAAATCTCATGACTACATTCGCAATCTTTAGTAAATTTCATTTTTGCATGCACGTATACATATGAACTATTAAACTAACCGTTGGGGTGTCACATCTAGTTCTCACTGAAACCCTAGCTTTCTTGGCTGGGCTCTGTTGCGCAACTTCATCTTCCATACCACTTGATCTCACTGTCTTGAGAACTTTTCTTGGTGGCCAAGTCTCACCAGCTTCTTCCTTGGGCACTTCTTCAAGGCTGCTTCCAGGGCTTGGATTGGCCAAGGGCACTTGATTAGTTGTAGCACTTGATTTAGGTGCTTCATATTTGCAGTCTAGCCCCAAAGACAAGCTTTCTCCATCTGACTCATTTTCTACTTTGCCTTGACTAGTGCTAGGGTTTTTATCATTCTTTTGATTCCATTTAGGTTTGCCAGAAAATGATCCGAGGCTGAGTGACACAAGCTCGGATTCCTCATCTTGATCATACTTCTTATTAGTACTTGGAATTGCAATGTCCTTGGACCTGTTTGCTTTTTGTTGAATGTCATATAACTGCATTTGAAGTGTCTGGTACTCCTCCGTTATCTGATCTAAGTACTTCTTCAGCCTTTGGTTTTCTTCTCGAACTTCACGCATTTCGGCTCTTGCAGATTCAAGCTGACAATCCTAAATGTTTGTCAATAAATTCAGAAAAATTAGTGCTCTAGCCTTTGATTTTCTTCATCTGTATATAAATATGCTAATAAACAAAGTGAACATATGCATGGAAGCCTAGGCTAGCTCTCGAAGTACCTGTTCCTTTATACTTGGTGAAGTAGATGCCACTGAATGATCAGGTTCCGCCGAGGACCCCTTTATATTACTTGTGGTTGATATCTGTTCAATTAAGTACCATACATAGTTATCAAAATTCACCGACGAGTGAAGAACTAATTAAATTAAATTGAAAGATTGAAGAATAATTAAACCTACGGTGTTAGCTACATGTTAAATTATAAGAGTCGGTAATGGTCAACCGAACACCGTTGTTTGGTTCTTTTTTTTTTTCGTTACATTAGAGAGTTTCGAACTCTAAATATAGCAACCACTAGGCTAACCCTAATAACTGCACCGTTGCTTGGTTCTTATTACGTGATCATTCCTAATCTTAATCAAAGGTTAATTTTATACTTAAAACAAAAGCATACGACTCTAGGCAGCTTATCTGTCATACAACTTCCCTGATTTCAAACCACTAGATTGGCAAAATAGTTCTGGTTTATGTACCGCCTGATTCCAATATTTCACTATCTTCGTTAAATAATGAAAGCAAATTGTGGATGTTGATTGATGGTGTATGTACCCTAATTTCAGGACCTCTAATAATGAAAATTCAAATATAATTAATGTAAATCCAATAACTTGGGGAGAAAAAAATCAAATCAGTGAGAGATATGGATTTAAATCCAATGGATGGTTAGAGATATTTATCTACGTTTTATTTACTTGAAATTAAAAGAACTAGAAAAAGGATAATAAAAGAAATCGTGCTCATTAACATTAAAATACGGTTGATTGCAAGAAGAGAAAAAAAGGGATAATATTTTCTTGATTGTTTGGGTGAACGAGATGGATTTACCTGCTTGCAACTCAAATCTTTTTGTTTAGGTGAAGATGATTTCACTTCATTATTCTCCTGGCATGGCCTTCCATTTCCAACCTGCAACATAGTAATTTTATCCACAGAAGTTCATATTAATAAAAGAATTAATTGTTAATTACACCTACATACAGTTCATGATAAATTAATCCTTTTAACTTAATTTTTTAGCAAAATATGAATTAGTTGTAATAGTTCCTTCAACGTACCCAACATACATAAAGTAAAATCAATAACAAATTAATATTGCCCGTGTAAAACCTTTATTATTGAACAAAACTAATACTAAAATATTTTCCTTTAATTTTGTTACGAAATATAAGATCAAAATATAGCTTGTAATCCTTCAAAAATTGCATCAATTAATATCTCAAATCACAAACTCAATCTCCATATATACAAGAATTTATTGAATTCTGATAGATTGGGAAAGAAAATAGGAATTTTAGATGCAATAATATTATTAATTTCACTTACTTTGAGAGCAATTTCTTCTTTGTGACCAGCTTCTTGCTCATCTGCAATACTACTAGATTCAAGAACTACTGTCTTCTCTTCACTTTCTGATCCTCCATGGCTATTAGACTTTCCCAAAGCAGCCTCCATAGGTTTTCTTCAGTTTTCTCTCCTTTTCCTATCCCTCTTTTGGCTAATTTGATATTCTTGGGGCCTCCTCCATCTTCCTCTTCTTATATAGACAGCATGCAGAATTTGACTCAACCCTTTAAAAGCTTGAAATTATTCAAACTCATATATTAGATGAGATAGCCTATATAATATTATTAATTAAGCTCTTAATTAGTTTATATGACCACGGCACACGAAATGTCAACTGCGCCCGTTCTCCAATTGCAGCAAAAGAAATACACACACCACAACAATATATTTACACTGAAAGATGAAAGATTTTGACTAAGCCATACAACAAGTTAGTCATAATTTAATATCAAACTTTCATTTGAGTTAAACCATGCAACGAGTCTATGCAACAAGATTGAAACTTAAAACCTCTTGCTTAAAAGTTATGATGAATATTACTAAATCATAATGCTAAATAGTATCACAACTTTGATTATAATCTTATTACCTTAAAAAAGAAGAAGAATTCAACGTCAACGTTTGAGATGACATGCCAGAAAGAAACAATACCTCGAAGGGCTTGAAGGCTTGCCGCCGCAAAACTCGGTCCCCGCCCAATTCTGCATCGTTGAAGTTTCATACTTGGCAAAAGTCACATGGGGATCGGTTCATCATGGTCAAACTTTAATTGGCTAGCTGGGGATTTACTTTCAGGGGTGGGGTATAGGGTTCTGTATCTACAGAGAAAAATTAAAATTTAGGTCAACGTGTTAATACAGGTATTATGGTCCAGTTCTAAAATTTTGCTTCTTGGATTCATTTGTCCATCAATTTGACCTTATTAACGTAAATACCATGATTCGTTCATGTTGGAATTGGTATTAGAATTAGGTGTAGCTCTCCAAGGTATACCAAAAATTATAGCAAGTCGTATGCGCGCTATATACGTTGAATAATTTTCATAAACGTAAATATATGACATTGTCTATGACAGTCTCGTATTTTAGTACTCCTACCTTATACTACTATATGGGACCATGTCTATACCTTAGATGAGTCAGTGTTTGTGCACAATTTTCAAACGACTAAATGAAACTAGGATTACTTTTCGGTGCGGTGTCATTTGACAAATCATGCTGCTAATTTATTTTGAATGACAACTACTAAAAGTTAGCAAATAAAATGGAAAATTTGGTGTTTCAAAACTTTGACAAATTATGGGATTTTTTTATTAGCTAATCCGTTGAAAGTTGAAACCCATTAAATTACTATATTTTCTATTAGCTAATTCTTTGAAAGTTGAAACCCATTAAATTACGGAGGTGGATTGTCTGCGCTCCCATTTTCATACTCTTCTCATCTCTTCTTGTTTGTGTGATCATGATTAAGCCACGTCAACATTTTATATTCCTATTACTTTTTGTTTTATTATTTCTATAAAAAATTAATATCAAAATGTTGACGTAGTTTAATCGTGATCACATATCACAGAAGAGCATGGAAATATTATGGAAATGGATGGATAGACAATCCACCTTGTTAAATTACTTAGCAAAGCAATACGAAGCATGACATGATGGCTCTTCAACCCAACTGTGCCCAAATTAAATATTCCATATCAAAATACAAGCAGTCCACTTGTAAGCGCAAGACTCGGCCATAAGCAGCCCTTATATCTAAATATACGAGAGGTTTTTCAATGTGATCGATACATATGTTATTAAATAAATAGTGGAATATGTATGTTAAAATGTTAATAACTTAAAATATAAAATTTTCTACCCATATGGTGTACTACTTGTGTTTCCATCACAACTAAAAATTTCTCCTAAACATATTATATGCGGTTTATATATCTATCTCTGTACGTATAAAATAATCTTGGGATCAAGAACGTTGACGTCTAATAATTTGTTTAGGCCTTAAACCAAGCTATATATCTATCTCTTCGTACCGACTTTGGAAATAATACAACTCTTTTTTTTTTTTTTTTTTTGTCAAAGGAGATAATAAAACTTGATATGCTTAAATATTACTTGAGTCGATCAGGATGAGAGTTTAATGTGTGCATTTGATCCAAGTGAAATTTGTTTGAGATAAAGACATTTATTTTAACATAGTATTGTGTTCAACTTTTTCTCTTTCACAATAATTAAGTATTGTGTTTAAGTTTTTCTCTCTTCCACAACATCGTTGGCTTCAAAAATTATTTTAAAAAAAATTAATCTCTCTATTATTACTATATTTAAACCTAATTTGTTACTAATTAAGTTATGAAACTCTTGATGATACCACAAAAATCACGCTTAATTTTCAATTAGATTGGTTAGACCACCTTTAAAGGTCCAAGTTTTTAGATAGAACTAGAAATAGAGCACGAAACACACCAAAAAAAAAAAAAAAAAAATCTGTTTATTCACTTAGGCTTTTCGTCAAACACTTGATCAGCGATATATCAAGAGAATTTGTTAAGTGTTGTTCATGCAACCTGTAGATATATGCATTAATAAGTATTACATCAAACACTTGGTATAAGGGGACCCGTACAAAACATTCGGAGGGTCATCAGAAGACCTTCGCATGTATATTTTCTAAACTTTGAATGGTCTTGGAATCATCTAGGTCCCAATGTGCATCCACCTCTGGTCTCTATACATGAATGGTACGGATGATCTTCCCTACTTTAGAATTGGTCATGCATATTAATAAACATCAGATCGATATATATATATTTGAGTTAACTTAGCTTTCAATTACCTGCTGCAGCTAGTTTAGTTTAGAATATTAACATCCCAATAGGTCAATGGCCTCTATACCTTATTCACGCTTCTAATTTGATCCGGGATAAGCATTATTTTAATTTAAATTTGGTTTCATTTAAAATTTTTAATATGTATTTTAGGCTATTAAGTTTCTATAAGATAATACATAATTAATTCAAGACAACTCCGTCACATCCCGGCCCGGGGGGGACCACTTCCCGGGCCCGTTCCACCACCGTAGCACTATATTGTCCGCTTTGGGCCCCGACCACGCCCTCACGGTTTTGTTCATGGGAACTCAGACGAGAACTTCCCAATGGGGCACCCATCCTGGGAGTGCTCTCGCAACTTCAGAGTTCCCATGGAACCCAAGCCAGTGAGTTTCCAAAAGGCCTCGTGCTAGGTATGGATGAGAATATACATATAAGGATCACTCTCCTGAGCGATGTGGGATGTCACAACTCAATTACAGTCATATATATATATATATATGCATCGAGAATTCATATTCAAGAAGTCTTCGCAATTTTTTGTTCGTTTTGGTGACCAAAGCCCCCTTACTTTGAAACTTCTGCTAGATTCTTGGCTGTATATTAAGATAAATACTAGTGGATTATTATATAAGCAGGGTCAACTATTGTGATCAAAGTATTACTTGGGATTTGGGTTTCTGTTTTACGCGCATTTCAAATAATTATTAATTGAAACCCTAATTAAAGGTGAGTTTATCATGCAATTGGATATTACTTTTTTCGTGTATGTTGGATTCAAACTTAAGATTTCTTTTAACACGGTGAAGAATTATTAGGGTTTAAAAGCTTGGAGCAAGTACTTAAGTAATTTTGCAAGTGGTTATTTACCACAGTGGTGGAAATGAGTTGAGTCATTGCATGACGGTGTGAGTTCGAAACCTGTCGTTAATTAGCTAATCTAACAAAAATCTATCGTTTGACCAAAAAAAAAAAAAAAAAAACCTAAGTAACTTTCATTCTGTTCAGATAACTTGAATTGATCCTCATTAATAAATATTTTTACCTTATTAACTTCATGAAAAATATTATTCAATTAATCGGTAAAGATGAAGAGCATAGGCAAAGATTAAATGGTATATTATAGCGGTACTGTTTATGCTAATCATGTAGATTATTATTGCCTTCAAACTAAATTAACATGCTTTATGTGGTATTTAATTAATCATGGTTGATTTTACTCGTTTTCGGATAATTAAAGACTCTAATTAGTCAACAAATTATTTAGATGACAGAGATATGAGTACATGAACCAACCAACCAAATAACTAAATAATAATGCATGCTTATATATGTTTATGGATCTTAATTATATATTATGTTTTCTATTAGAGTCAATTGTTCAAGAGCTTCTCACTCTATATTGTTTTGTTTAAAGTGGAATCTAGCAAGAAAAAAAAAAAGGATATAGAAGTAGGTGGTATAAGCTCTCAAATGTCAATGGGTGTCTCCGTATTCATTTTTTTAAAAAGGGTGGTATTATCCAAGCATCTTTTTTCTTTTTTTAATATTCTACACAACTTCTGTTAATTTTTGTGTCTTGTTTTTCTTCAATTTATTTGATTCAACGGTCAAAAAATTAAAAAAGGCAAGTGGAAGGTAAAAAGGTGTATGGATAGCATCACCATTTTTTAATATGAACATCATACAGGAAAGGGATCCTCTCCGGATGATGAGAAATGGATTCTCTTCACCTAATCCTTCTCATCAAACAATCCAGACTTTAAATTTGATCCAACTACTAAAATTATTATAACTTTTATAGTTAATCCTTGTTTGTAGTCATTGGATCAAATTTCAAAAGCCTGAATTGTTTAATGAGAATAATTAGATGGAAGAGATCAGGAGAAAATCCTTTTCCCATCATACATATTTACGCAAGACCCATCGATCCCATAATTTAAAGAACTATTTCTTTCTGCGTGGATAAAAAACGTTTCAATAAAAAATGTTCAAAAGGTTGATCGAACATCCGAGACTCGAAGAATAAACATGTCTCGCTGATAACATTTTCTCTTCAAGATCGATCATCCATACAGTTTGAAGGAAGTGCAAGGTTCCTTACCTTTCAAATATATGCAAGATTTACATTCTCAACACTTCTGCTTTTATGTGAAGTTTTTTGGGACTAACACATGGATAATACATATTCGGTGATGTAAATCATTGAACTCAACACGTTAGTTAACGTTTTATGATACTATGGAGAAAATTAATATTCTACTATAAAATCATTTGATAATATATGAGAAGCAGCTCAACTTTTTAAAAATACATGTGAAGTCTCTGTATTTCTTGATGTGAGCAATTCATGCTTAATTTCTTAGCGCTTGTATAATTATGGGGTGTCTTACACACCTTTTTAAT